GTCTTGTTGTGATGAAACATGCGTTGTGATGGCGGTGGTGGCGGTGACGAGGCACTCATCCACGACAGCTACCGTCAACACACTCTGCACGTGCACTCGTGGTGATGTGATGTGTGTGTGTGTGTGTGTGTGTGTGTTACTTGAGGTCAAACCAGCTGCCTTGCTCGTGTACATTTTGTGTGTGTGTGTGTGTGTGTGTGTGTGTGTGTGTGTGAATCTTACCGACTGCTTTGCGTGTGCTTGCTTTGGTTGTTTGCAGGTGTACGTGTCTGTGATGTGTGTGTGTGTGATGCGTACATCACTCCGTGCTTCACGTTTCCTTTCGTGTGTCAATCAAGTAAAGAATCAAAGCTGCTGTGTGCTGCGGACTCCCATGCTTTGCGGACAGGGTGTGCGCGAGTGTGCGTGTCTGCATGCGTGCGAGTGTTCATGTCTGCGCCCTTTCTTGCGCTTTGTGTTACATGAATGTATGTATCAACGGTCATAACATGATGGTGAGGGACAACACTGGATTGTGATTTGAGAGGTGGTGGACACGGGAACACAACAACAATAACAACTTAAACAACAACAACAACAACAACTTAACAACAACAACAACAACAGCAACAACAACAACAACAACAACAACAGCAACAACAACAACAACAACAGCAACAACAACAACAACAACAACAACAACAACAACAACAACAACAACAACAACAACAACAACAACAACAACAACAACAACAATAACAACTTAAACAACAACACCAACAACAACAACTTAACAACAACTTAAGCGACAACTTACACAACAACAACAACAACAACAGCAACAACATTAACAAACAACAACAACAACAAACATTCAAATTGTGCGCGGTGGGAACTGCCGAAATTTGGTGGATGTTTTCATGAGAAAACAACCGCGCCCTCAACGCCCAATACACAACCGATGGCGCTCAGCGTCATCTGACACTGCTCTCCTTTCCGTCCCAAGGCACAACAAGCAAGCAAGGCAGTGTAGCGCAGTGTGCATCAACTGACGTGAGTGCCATGACATGACAAAGCGCCCAGCTTCCTGCCAGTACGCTCGTTCCCTTCAAGCAAGCCCTGCTTTGCTTGTTTGCTGCGTTGGCACTTTTGTGATTGCGCCATATTGCATTCTTCCTTGTTGCACCTTGTCACACACATCATGTCACACTCATCACACAACCTCGCTTGCTTGCTTGGATGGTTGCTGCGTTTCTTCGCATCACATGCATCCAGACTACAGGATCCTTAAGAGCTACAGCATCCCTTCTCCGTTGACTGAGTCCATTCATTCATTTCCACTGAGACGCTCCCAAGCGAGCAGGCGAGCAAAGCAGCTTCCGCCCACACGGATTGTCGTCAACGGATGCGTTCGTGTCTCGTTTGCTTGCACACGAGGAGCAAACGCCAGCCATGGACCGCGAAGACAGCACGCGTGTGACCATTGTGGACGTGGATGACGTCGTGCCTGTTGGCCAGGCTGCCATGGAGATGGAGATGGAAGACGCACAGCAACAACAACAACAGCAGCAACAGCAGCAACAAGGTGGTACCTCCCCAGCTACGCCTGCAGTGACAACTTCCTTCCATTCACAGCAAGAACAGCAACAGCAGCAGCGGCGGCAGCAGCAGCGGGGTGGCCGCAGCCAATTCCCGTATGCCAGTGACCAGCGCATTAGCAAGGATGATCCCGCCATTGCGTTTGAGCCGACGGTCGCTGGCCGAGAGGGCGACACGCACAGCGAGCGCGGCTCTGTGTTCTCTGTAAAGCCGCGCCAGCACACGGCGTACTTGCAGTTCCAGGACCTGCGCTTTGAGGTGGACACGGTCGTCAAGAAGCAGAAGAAGACCAACACCATCCTCAAGGGCCTCAGCGGCGACTGCAAGCCGGGCCACGTGCTCGCCATTATGGTGTGTGATGTGCATGCATATGTGTGTTGTGTATGAAGGTGTGTTTGGGTCGTGTGTGTGTGTGTGTGTGTGTGTGTGTGTGTGTGTGTGTGTGTGTGTGTGTGTGTGCGTTGTGTATGAACGTGTGTGTGTATGGTTCAATCACATTGTCACTGCAAGTCGCCCTGTGTGCGTTTCTTCGACCGCAAATGACACCCGCGCCCTCACCAACACCAACCACTGCTCACTGTCTTCATCTTCAACTCCCCCATCCCCCCCCCCGGCAAATCCATTTACAAACAGGGCGCCTCTGGTGCCGGCAAGACGACGCTGCTGAATCTGCTGGCCGGCCGCCTTTCCCAGTCGGGAAATGGGCGGACCTCCGGGCAAATCCTCGTCAACGGTCACAAGCGAAACTACTCCGTCTTCTGCAAGCGGAGTGCATGTCAGTCGCGTGCACGTGTGTGTGATTTGTGGTGGTGAAATGATTTAGGTGTGTGTTGTGTGCACGTGTGGTTGTGCTCTATGTATTGTGTGCTTTGGTGAGTGTGCATGTGAGTGTACATGTGCGTGCGCGTGTGTGATGGCAATTCTATGTCACTATCTTCAATCACCACGGCCACAGCATCTCACCACAACATCTCCCACAACACCTCCCACAACGACTCACCACAACCATCACCACAACCATCACCACCATGATCAGACGTGCTGCAGCAGGATGTGTTCTATGCCGAGCTGACGGTGCGTGAGACCATCACCCTCTCCGCCCTCCTCCGCCTGCCCCAGTCCATGTCTCGGCAGGACAAGCTGGCGCGTGTGGATGAGGTCATTGCCGAGCTCGGCCTGAACAAGAGTGCGGACACCATCGTGGGCAACGACCTCGTGCGCGGCATCAGCGGCGGTGAGAAGAAGCGGTGCAACATCGGCACGGAGCTTGTTGTTGACCCGTCTCTCGTCTTCCTGGACGAGCCGACCACAGGCCTGGATGCGTTCAACGCACAGAACGTGATGACAACGCTGCTGTCGCTGTCCAAGGCCGGCCGCACCGTGGTGTGCACCATCCACCAGCCGCGCTCGGAGATTTATGGGCTGCTCGACGAGCTCATGCTGCTCTCGGAGGGGTACATGATGTACTTTGGCACCGCCAAGGACGCGCCGTCCTACTTTGCCAACCTCGGGTACGCGTGCCCGGAGGCATACAACCCCAGCGACTACTTTCTCGACCTCATCTCGCTCGACTCACGAACCAAGGAGCGGGAGGAGTGCACGAAGAAGCGCATCCAGTACCTTGCGGAGGCGTACGCAGACTACCGGCAGGAGCATCCGCTGGAAACAAAACGCGCACAGGACTTTATGTCCAGTCGCAGCGTTGCGCAGATGCAGGAGGGGCCTGTGGACGAGAGCGCCTATGCGACGACGTGGTGGACGCAGTTTGGACTCCTGCTTGGTCGCGCCATGAAGATTCTCGTGCGCGAAAAGGGTGAGACGATGATGGGAGGTGGTGCAGGTGGTGTGTGAGTGTGAGTGTGGGGGTGTGTGTGAGTGTGAGTGTGAGTGTGAGTGTGAGTGTGAGTGTGTGCGTGTGTGTGTTTGTGTGTTTGTGTGTGTGTGTGTGTGAGAGTGTGAGAGTGTGAGAGTGCGAGTGTGTGTGTGTGAGTGCGAGTGTGTGAGTGTGTGTGTGTGTGAGTGCGAGTGTGTGTGTGTGTGTGTGTGAGTGCGAGTGTGCACAGGTGTGTTGTGACACGTCTTCAGTGGACTCCACTTGTGCACTGCGTCTTCTCACGCTCCGCCGTCATACCCATCACCATTGCCATCATGACATGACCACTGCATGTGTCGTCATGTGCTCCCCAAAGCGACCAATGTTGCGCGCGTGATGCAAACGCTCGTCTTCAGCATTCTCCTCGGCCTCATCTGGCTCAACGGTGCGTCATCGTGTGCATGCGTGCTCACATGTGTCTTCTGCGTGTCTTCTGCGTGTCTGTCTGTGTGCGTGTGTGTGTGTTCTGCGTGTACATTTGCGAATGTGTGTTTTATGTTTGCGAATGTGTGTTTTATGTGTGTGTGTGTGTGTGTGTGAGTGCGTGTTTGAGCATTGATGTTCAACGCGCGCGCTCTCACTTACCTCTCGATAACGAATGCTGCGTTCGTGTGTTCAGAGGGCGGCAACGACTCCGGATCGTCTGTCCAGGTTTGTACACGTGTGTGTTTGTACATGTGTATGTGCGTGTGCGCGTGCGTGTCAACTTGTTTGCGTGCATGTGCGCACGCTTTGCTCGTACGCGTGTGTGCTCTTGAACCGCGGCCGCCCTTCGCTGCTGCCACACTGTCGTGCGCGTGTTCATTTTGTGTGTTTTTATCTGCGTGTGCGCTGACTTGTTCTGCCCGTTTGTCTTGTTCGCTCACATTCACCACCACCGCCACCCTCCTCCGCATCCTTTGCGTGCCTGCAGGCAGTTGCTGGTGCCATCTTCTTCATTCTCATCAACCAGTCCTTCTCGGGCGTGTTCCAGGCGAGTGATGACGATAGCAATGGTGATGATGGTTATTGATGATGATGATGATGATGATGATGTCTGTGCGTGTGCGTTGTTGTGTATGTGTATGTGTATGTGTGTTTGTGCACTGCTGTCAATGCTCGCAAGTATGTGTGCGGATGATGCTGACTGCGCATTCACAGCGGATTATCGACCTCACCTCTGCATGCACGCACACACACGCACACGCACGCACACGCACGCACACGCACCCACCCACACGCACCCACACACACACACACACACACACACACACACACACACACACACACACACACACACACACACACACACACACACACACACACACACGCTCAACTGTTGCAGATGATGTTGTGTCGACACATGGGGCACGGCAGCACACGCTGCTGACGGCTGCTGCGCATGAACTGCATGAAACAGTCCGCTGCACACATGAGCAAAACAACACAGCAGTGAGAAAGCTCACTCATACATCTCCACGCACATGCATGAGGTAGCGCGACGTAACATGATTCGCACAAAGGGGGAGGGGGTGGGGTGCACATACACGCAGGGTGCATACACACACACACACACACACACACACACACACACACACACACACACACACACACACACACACGTGCACACACACACACGTACAGAACAAACACAGACACACGTACAGCACATCGACACACATTCTCACACCATTTGACGCCACTCACAGCAGAAGACATGGCCGCAGTTGGTCATGCAGGGCGAGTTTGGCGGCTGCACCAGGCAGATGGGGCAAATCTCCGATTCAAAGTGCATCTCCGCTGGCGCCTGATGTCGCCGTGGTGGTTGCGGTCGCCCTTGCTGTTGCGCACGCCTCGCATCTTCGCGCCGACGCCGCTCCTGTTCCCGAAGCCGCGATCGGCCCTCAAAAAACTGCTTCACCCCTCTGTACGCCGCCCACAACATCCCCAGCAACCCAACAAGTAAGAACAACATCCTGTGTGCCCTTGTGATGTCCTGAAAGAGATGAGACAGGAAGGAGACAGCAAGCGGGGAGAGAGAGGGGGGGGGGGACGACAACAGAGACGTTGTGTGCGTGTGGGGCTTCGTCTGTGGCTGTTGTTGTGTCAGCAACTTCCTTCCTTCCTTCAGTCGTTGTGCCGATTTGTCTTGGAAGTCTTTCACAACTCTTCCGTAACCGCACCAAAACAGACGATGATGCACAACAACCAGCAGCACCACACAGCACTGCACAAGGTCTGCACAAGGTCCAGTTCCGCACTGCCTACATTTTGTTTGTTTGTGCAGTTTGGTCGTGCTTGTGAGTTGTCGTTTGGCCCCGCTACACACTCTACTGTTAGCGAACTCACACTTGCCTCTGTCGTGTTCCTGCTGCTGATGCTGACAGGCAAGCAGGCAGGAAGAACGGGGCCGGCATACACGAACTCAAGGAACCTGTTGACAGCATCGGAACTGGGCGTGGGCAGCGCGAAACCGGTTCGATTGCTCGTGATGCATGACGTGCTTGTGTAAAATCTGCGAGAGTTTGGTGTTGTGGGCACGTTATCGTCTCTGTATCGCTCGTGTTGAGACAGCGGCAGCGGGCTTGTGTTTGTGTGGTTTGTGTTCACGGGTTGACGGTGGAGGCAAGCTGCTAAGGGCAGACCACAACACACAGTCACACACACACACACACAGTCTCTCTCACACACACACAGAGTCACACACACACACATACACACACACACGCACACACACACACACGCACACACACACACGCACACACACACGCACACACACACACACGCACACACACACACACACACGCACACACACACACACGGTCACACACACAACTACCAGTGCTGTCTCTCGCTTCAGATACTGTCATCACTGACGACTGTTCAACGTTGAAGCTTAGCCTGCGCTCTGCCGCCATGAGTTGAAGGTGACATCTGCACTCCTCTGCAGCTCCCTGCTGCCAACGTTGCTGGTGAGTTTGACCACTTTCTGACATGTCCCCATCTCCTTCTCGTGCCTGGCGTTTGTTGTCCCCCAAACAACGCATATACACACACACGCACACAGAACACAGCACATGTACACACGTGTGCACGCGCACCCAACCCATCACCCTCATGTTCCCGCCGTCTTCTTTGCTTCTTTCCAACGCACACTGTGCCACGTGTCCGCCTCAGCCACACACACACACACACACACACACACACACACTCACTCACTCTCTCTCTACCACTCTGCATCAGCACTTTTGTTTGCCACCGTCAGCAATTTTCGCGAGCGCCTCACATGCATTCACAGCCCTGTTGCTGGGCATGCAACAACCACCACCACCACATCTCATTGTTTCCCTCCTCTTGCTGTCTGTCTGTCTCCCCCTCTCTCAACCTCACACACACGCACACAATCTCTCTCTCTCTCGCCCACACACACACACACACACACACACACACACACACACACACACATACATACATTGCTAGAGCTTGCGGGCATTCTTAAGGAGGGTCGGCAAGGCATGCCGCTAAAGACTTAGGATATCCTCTCGGTGTTCGAGCTTTAAACTGCACGATGCGACAGTACGTACCTCTCTCTCTCGCCACCACACACACACACACACACACACACACACACACACACACATAAGCACAAGCACAAACACATCAGCACAATTGCACACCTCACCCCACGCAACACCATCTGGCTATCCACCGTCTTGGGTGCTTCTGCACACATGCGCATTAGCATTGTTTTGTGCGGCCATTGCCTTCGTGATTGTTCCCACCACCGCCCAATCATGCGCTGAAACGTATCACCAACACCCGCACACTTGCTTGCGCGCACACGGCATTTGCTTTCAGGCAACTTCGCTGCCGTTTGAAGCAGCCGTGTGTTGAGCAGAGCCGTCCCCAATCTTAACCTGACAATCACCCGATCTTTTTTCGGTTGCACCAACCGACACTTCCGTTGGAGTCGTTGCTGCGCACGCCGCCATGCGCTCTGACGCGCGTGCTGCAAAAGGTCAGTTGACAGCTTGCATCAGTTGCCGTATTGTCGTCGTCATCGCGGGCTCGGGGCTTTTTGTTTACATTTGCACTTGACGTTGCTTCGTGCGTGCGTTCGCGCCCCCATTGTTTTGCCGACCGTTACTTCTGTGCGGCAGCACATGCCCCCGTGATTGGGTTGCCACGTTGTCAAAACTCCCGCCAAATTGGCGCACTGGCACACACACATGGCGATCAGTGAGCTGTCTCTGTCCGCCCTCTCGCTCACTGCTCACTGCTCGCTGCTCACTGTGCGTGTGTCTGTCTCTCCAGCTCAATTCTCTCTCACGCACACACGCTTGCTCCGTGCTCACTCACACACCCGCAACAATTTTCTGTCGGTGCATGCGTCTGTCTGCGTTCGCAGCGTCATTTTCCACCGACCCCCAGTCTCTCAAAGACCAAGCAAGAAACAAGAAGCAAGAAGCAAGAAGCAAGAAGCAAGACAGCTGTGCCCCTGCACTCCAGATTGCGTCTTCTGCTCCGTATCCCCCAATACGGAACACATTCACACACACACACACATACACACATACACACGCACGGACAACGCCTGTCGTCCGCCTGTCTCGCGCCAGTGGACGTCTCCACACACGGCTGCCATCCGGACCACAACAGCTGCGTCCCCGCCGCGAGATCTGCACCTTCACATCCATCCCTCCATATACATCCCTTCACATCCTCGCCATCTTCGTCTTCGTCGTCGTCTTCGTCTTCATCTTCGTCGCCAGCTCTCTGGACGGGCGCATCGCTCGACGGCCCCCTCGACTCCGCTGCCCGCAACCGCCATGTCTCACCGCGCTGGTGAGCAGCTGCACTTCATATCACCTCATGTGACATGTATGCCTGCAAGCATGGATGTATCTGCCGCGCCTGAAAGCCACGCAAGCGCATGCCCCGCATACCACCACCACCGTCACCCCCACCGCCACTGCCTGGCATCCTTGTGAAACTCTCGCTGCTTGCCTCTTCCTCACAACCTGCCGCTCTCGCTCCCCCCTTCCATTTTGCTTCTGCTTGTGCATATGCGCTGTGCGTGCGTGCATGCATGCATGCAGGCAACCTCACTGCTACCGGCGACACCACTGCACCGCGCGCCTCCAACGCCTCTTTCCTGGCGCGTTCAAGCCCTGATCACCGCGGCCATCGCTCGCCCTTCCTCACCATCGTCTCTTCCTCCTCCTCCTCGTCATCGTCGGCGTCATCGTCATCAGTCCGCAGGATGGACGGCATGTCTGCCGGGACAGTGCGCCCACACCCGTTGATCACCACGGAACGCACCCTCACCGCGACCAACACGAGCTACTTCCTCATGGTGGGCGAGCGTGTGGACGGCGCAATCAGCCTCAACCACCTCGCCGATGGTCGCATGCACCGGCTGCGTCCGGGCTCGATGCTCCTTCAGCCCTTTGGCGACCTGTACCATCTCGACGAGTCTGACGAAGGAAACCATCTGCGTCGCGTTCGCCGCATGCCGCCAGACTTTCACAACGTCGCCCTGTGCTCCAAGACGCCTGCAGCGCGTGGGCACCGCGTGTCCACCACGCTGCCGCTCGCCTGTGACGGGCGGGTGTATTGCGTGGAAGACACCAGCCACGTGGTTTGCATCGAACACGGTAGCCGCAATGCCTTCTTCCTTCCCCTCGATGCGGACCTCGACGCCATCGCCAGGGACTGCGCACTCTTTCTGCCCGTGATGGAGGAAGGCCCGCTCCTGCGCTACAGCGACCTCGACACCATCCGTCGCGTGCGGGAGCGGGGTGACCTGCTCGGCTTCGAGGACCTGCCGCAGCTGTTTGTCGAGTTTGACAGATACGTCGACCACAGCTCCGCGTATCTGCTTGACGAGGCTGTGAACCGCCTCGAACGCCAGCGCCAACAGGAACAGCAGCAGCACCAGCACCAACAGGAACAACAGCAGCAGCGCCAACAGTACCAAGCCCCCACCACGCCAGCTGTTGCTCAACAGTACCAAGCCCCCACCACACCAGCTGTTGCTCAGCAGTACCAAGCCCCCACCACACCAGCTGTTGCTCAACAGTACCAAGCCCCCACCACGCCAGCTGTTGCTCAGCAGTACCAAGCCCCCACCACGCCAGCTGTTGCTCAGCAGTACCAAGCCCCCACCACACCAGCTGTTGCTCAACAGTACCAAGCCCCCACCACACCAGCTGTTGCTCAGCAGTACCAAGCCCCCACCACGCCAGCTGTTGCTCAGCAGTACCAAGCCCCCACCACACCAGCTGTTGCTCAACAGTACCAAGCCCCCACCACACCAGCTGTTGCTCAACAGTACCAAGCCCCCACCACACCAGCTGTTGCTCAGCAGTACCAAGCCCCCACCACGCCAGCTGTTGCTCAACAGTACCAAGCTCCCACCACGCCAGCTGTTGCTCAACAGTACCAAGCCCCCACCACACCAGCTGTTGCTCAACAGTACCAAGCCCCCACCACACCAGCTGTTGCTCAACAGTACCAAGCCCCCACCACACCAGCTGTTGCTCAACAGTACCAAGCCCCCACCACGCCAGCTGTTGCTCAACAGTACCAAGCCCCCACCACACCAGCTGTTGCTCAACAGTACCAAGCCCCCACCACACCAGCTGTTGCTCAACAGTACCAAGCCCCCACCACACCAGCTGTTGCTCAACAGTACCAAGCTCCCACCACGCCAGCTGTTGCTACAACAGTACCAAGCCCCCACCACGCCAGCTGTTGCTCAACAGTACCAAGCCCCCACCACACCAGCTGTTGCTCAACA